CATCAATGATCTGTTGGAAGTCGTAGAGGCAGCCCGGAAGGGAGTAAAAGTAGGGGGCACGGAAACCTCGGTGTCGGGAATGCTGTTTGCGGATGATTTTGTCCGTATGTCGGACACCCCTGAGGGTAGGGGTTCAAGGAGAAGATATCTGTTGCTTGTGCCGAGAGAGAACAGAATCTGAGGACAGAATCCAAGGATAAGGAGTGTACGGAATGTTGAAGGAAGGAATAGAGTTCAAGGATTACCTACATGGACAAATAGATGCAGGAACAAAGCTTAAGGTCAAATTCAGGACCGGGGACATAGGCCCTCGAGAACGTCGACGAAGTCATAGGACGGTAGACGAGGAAGACGACGAGTTCAAGTGTGATTGCGGCTTCGAATGCGAAGACCGTGTTAATGTAGTCGCGGAATGTCCGTGGTACAAGAAGGAGAGGAAAGTTTACGTGACTGAGCTGGGACAAATAGATGGAACGTACAGGGAGATGTTTGAGGCATGGAATAGAGAGGAAAGGACGGTAGCTGTACTGGGGCATAGGAGGTGGTTTGAAAAGGCGGGAAGGGATATCGTTAGGATAGACAGACTAGGGAAGACATTTTTGAGCCACCTTTGGCAAAGTAGGAAGGAACGATTGACCATCGGTGATCGGTCCTGTGGGAACAATGCTCCGTCCTCTCGAGGACGCGTGGTCAATGGTCTAACCGCTAAGGCATGCAAAACAAAAGAGATTTCCACCTCGCCGCCACTGACACCGACGCTGAATACGACAGCATGGCATTCATTCTGGATCGACCACAAGAAGGACCTCCCGACGTGGCACGCTTTGACGTTGGATGTGTATCTGTTGCAGTCATCGTCAGCGTTCATGGAACGAGTTTCTTCCCTGCTGCGTTGCTACTTTAGTGAACGTCAAGAGCAGGTGTACAGCGACCGTATATATAGTCTATGCGCTGCCACACTCCTGAAGTACGATAGGGGGAAGGCCAGAAGTGGCAGGGGCTGAGGCAGGAGAAAGACCAGCATGACCCGGAAGAAGTGGATGTGACGGGTGGCGGGGCTTGTCAGAATTATTAGTCCAAATTCGTAGGTTGTGCTTGTGGGGGCATCGGCTGAAGTATTCCACCGTATCACGTTGCATCGACAATCTCGACTCTCGAGTATATCTCGTGACCGCGTTCGCACCTTCGCTTCCGTGTTTTGTTGAGGTGGCGTGAATGGCGAGGGTGCAGCATGTGAGCATGTGGCATGTTCCATGTCGTGTGTCGTGTGCAATTAATTTGATTGTTTGCTACCGGGCTAGACAACCTCGAGGAGAACGCCTGTCGGCGAAGGCCCGACACTAGACTACACTACATCTATTCGATATACTCGTAGCATAGTATGATGGTTGAGATGTTATGTACGTACGT